GAGGCCATCTGTTCCATGTGATCCCGCCCTTTAACGCTCTGGTAGTAGTGGTGGTTAGTGGCCCAATAAATTACATTTTAAACCCAATTTTTGAATCGTTGTCACTGGTGTATCTGTTTCGCCCAACCATTTAATTGGTGCTTCTCAAGTATAAGGAGACGGAAAATTACAGGAGTTGAATAACAGTTCTTCTGGAAGGAAGACGATGATAATCCAACCTAAAGGATTTCTCTCACTGTCTTCGCAGATCCAGGGAAAGTTGGTTGGATGGAATAATTAGTCGCGGAATCACAGAATTCAGTCAGTGCCAATATTTTATTGAATCAGCAGCCAGTTCAAGTGTTGAAAGCGGAAACAAAAAGGCTTTTACATCTCATTTTGTATTTGAAACAGAAATGATGCGATTAGAGCAAAATGGTACGATTTAAAACAGAAATGACGTGATTTAGAATACGAATGACGCGATTTAGACAACAATGTTAGAACAGATGTGATTTAAGGCAAAAATATATAGTGTGATTCGTGAATAAATCACATCGCTGAGAGCCAATGGGATTGCTTTGAACACCATTAATTTCAAAATGGATACAATCGATGCAGCAAAAACGTTTACAAGGCGAACGGAAAATCCCCTGACGGAAAATGGAGTTTCTACGTTTAACAAAGGTCAAGCGCTAAAAATTTCTCAGACTTTTTTATTTGCGCCTTTTGAACATTTTAAACTGTTGTTTGCACTTTCAACTTGCCAATAAAAGCTATCTATCTTAATTCAAACCTAGCATTTAAAAAAAATTATCATTATTATTATTTAGCTACTTGTACATAAGTAAATAAAATATAATTCTGGTCAGAAGTTACACTTCCACTTTTATATACATTAAATTCCGATCTAACAGTTTATATTTTCATTTTCGTAGTGCATTTAGTTCACAGCACAACATTGTTAACTGTCACTACATGAAAAAGAAAACGACATCACGACATTCACGTGATTGTCAGTGGATTTCCACGTTCGCGTACTAATTCTTACGTGCGTAAAAAAATAAAGAGACGATATATGAAAGGTCGCGCGTTACATAGAAGTTGAGCGAGGTTCAACTTTTACGTTGAAGAAACAACAACGGCGACGGCAACGAGAACGTCACTAAAAAAGGGTCTCCGCTCTGCCTAAAACTTTATCCCGCTTTTTCCATCTTGTTCAATTCTTCAAGTCTGTATCGAAGTTCAGGAAAAGAAAACGAAAGTCGTCTTGTGTTCACGTCCTCCACCGTCATAATTGCACAGTGATGGCAAAGAAATGTACAAAAAACAGTGATGCAAGTACAAAGATGTTTTGGCAATCTAAACCTATTGATTTTTTGACGTTCTCGTTGCCGTCGCCGTTGTATTTGTTTACGTTCCCTATTGTCTTTAACAACGGCATATAAACCGGCCATCCCACTCGAAGAGGGATAGGCTTACAGAAAAACTGAAGAGAAATAAGTCCAAGGGTAAAAAAGTACTAGGAACCAAAACGTTACCGACTTTTTAAGTTATTACCACAAGACTAACAAGTCTAATAGGGTGGAGCAAAGGAGTTAACTCTTTGTTTGAGACCTCAGAGGCCAGTGTCTGAAAACTCTTGTCGACAAAACTTTCACGGTAAAAGGGTTGTAGTACCCTCGCGAAATACAAGCTAGCAGTACGTCATTATCCAACAGCTAAAACATTATTCATTTCGCAAACATTATTCGCATTCTTTCCGTTTTTGTCCCCTCGTTTCTCCTAACAAGTAAACTAGTTTAACCATTGCCCGAGTGGCAGCACAATAAATGGACGGTTTAGGCAAGAGATATTGAGTAAACAAAGCGATAATGTCAACGGCAATAACTACAGGCCGTTCCAAACCACTGTACTTTCTGAAGGTAGATAGAAAGATAGATAGCCTTTATTTTAAAACGATGATTATTAAAGCTACATGAGCTTGTGGGGTCGTTTGCTATTAACTAATCATTAAGTAAACTAAAAAACTAAAGACTAGGGGTATATACAGAAAAAACGTTTGAACTTAAATCAGCGGTGCTTACGAATATGAAATTGTGAACATAAATTTAAGTGTATACAAAGTCATCTTTTCCAAAATTACAAGTGGATGCAGACGTCATCTTGAAGCTGAATTCATTAAAATTAACTTGAGATTTAAGCTTTAGCCTGAGATCACGATATGGAATGTTTTTTGTCAGGGAACTACAGTTGTTGGTCACTGCATTCCACAGGACTGAGCCTCTAAACGCGACAGAGTCTTTCATGTAACGCGTGTTGAAGAGTGGAACAATTAGAGAAGGGCCAGTCCGGGTTGAATAGTTTGTGGCCCGTTTCTTAGAAATCAGATCGATTAATGTGACAGGTAACCTATCGTGGAAAGCTTTATGAAGACAGATAAAAATGGCTGATTTATAATAAATAGACAGAGTCGGCCATTGGGCCCGTTGGAGGACATCAGCAGATCCCATATCTTTCGGCAAATTAAAGATAAGTCTCGCAGCCCCGCAGTGAAGTCTTTCCAGGAACTGAAATAAGTCGGAATTGCAGCAAGATCCCCATAGTATAAGACCATAGGTCACTGAAGGCAAAATGACCTTAAAATAGAGATCCTGACGAACGTTCCTAGGGAGAAATCTCGACTTCTTAAGTAATCCTAGTTTTTTAGCAAATGATTTTTTGAGTTCCAGCATATGCTGAGTCCAGGTCAGTTTCTCATCGACGGTCACCAACAGTAATCGTGATTTCGATACCCATTCAATTGTAGAGTTTCCGATAAAAATCGGGGGAATGTTAACCGGGGGATTTCTTCTAGAGATTAGCATGGCCTCACATTTACTTGGGTGGGGTGTTAATCTGTTAATGAGGCACCACTCGTTTAATTCACGAAGTGCAGAATTTAACTTGGCAATACTTTTTTCTGCCGTGTCACTTATGCAGTAAATCGTTGTGTCGTCGGCAAACATAAAGACGGATCCGGAGGACCCTGAGGACGGAAGATCGTTCGTGAAGAGAGTGAAAAGTGTCCGCCCCAAGACAGACCCTTTAGGAATTCCAAAAGAGATCGGTATCATCTCTGAAGTTGAACCATTAACAGCTGTGAATTTCTGTCTTTCCTTTAAGTAATAACTTTTAAGCCAGTCCAGGAGTAGTCCTGATATGCCAAAGTCCCTTTCCAACTTCGTTTCGAGAATGGCGTGCGACACAATATCGAATGGCTTTTTAAAATCTATGAAGGCAACTGCTACCACTAAGCCTGCGTCTACAGCTTCTCTCCATGTTTCGGTAAGTTGTATTAGTAACAGTTCTGTTGAAAATCCTGCGCGGTATGCCCATTGTTTGTACGTGACTAGATTATTAGCTTTATATACATGACGAACAATTGTGTCGTTGACTACTAATTCAAGGATCTTGCTTGGGACGCTTAGCAATGATATCGGTCTATAATTGCAGCAGTCGGTTTCATCGTTCTTTTTATATACTAGAGTAAGCCACGCAGTTTTCCAGCTAGTGAACACCCTTCCGGTGGTAGTGGAGAGTCGGAATAGGCTGAGGAGTGACGGGACAATCGCATCGCCTGCTAGCTTCAAAAGTTTTGGAGGTATGTTATCAGGACCTGTGGATTTTGTTGTTTTTAGGGCCTTTATTTTGTCCGCTACTAAAGACTTTGAAACATAGGCATCTGTGAGTCGAGGAGTATCTGTCTCGCCCTTGTCTGGGCAATTATCCCGTGTCCACAACTTGTAGGCGGGGGTAAAGTGTTGGATAGCTTTAGGCCAATCGTAGCAAAATAAGAGTTTATCACGGTTTGCTTTTCCCGAGTCCATAAATTCCAGGGTGCCGTCATCGTTTTTAAGAGGCCTGATAATTTTGCGGACCTTGGGGTTGGTAGCCCTTTTTAGAAGATTCCAATATGCGCTCAAGGACTTGACTTCATTAAAAATGGTGGGAAAATAAGATGATTTACCTTTTTTTAAAAATCAGACGTAACTTCGTTCCTGACTCGTTTGTAATTAGACCACTGCTCTGGACATTTACTAGAAATTGCCGCCTTAAAAAACTTATACCGTCGGTTCATTTTGTGACGAATTTCGCAAGTTATCCATGGGGAGGAGAAGCTTCTTGCCTTTATCTCCCTCCACGGAGCATGTTCATTGGAAATATCGTCGAATAGTCGTTCCCAAACGCCATAGCTGGTCGTCAGGCTCTTCGAAGATGGATACGATGTGAAATGGAGTACATTCAAGATCATGTTTAAATTTCTCTTCGTCCATTCTTTTGTAGTTCCTTGTTTTGATGAATTTTGGCGGTGGTCTTTTGTTTTTGAGCCGAATGGTTGCGTAAATTAAATCGTGATCTGATAGTGGGAATACTCCAGAAGAGCTGATGAGATCCTTTGTAGTGGTGACAAAGAGATCGAGCAAAGTGCGTGATGAAATTGTTGATTTTGTGGCCTCCTGAATCATGTTATGCATATTAAACGTCTCAAAGATAGAACGCAGTTTGATTGTGTTTCGGTGCAGTATGTTATCTGGATCGCCTTGAAAAGAAAAGTCACAGTTATAGTGGCCGAAAAGAAAAATATTTTCAGATCTCAACCAGGCTTTTTCAAGTGGCATGTTGATGCGTTCAAAGAAAAGGTTGTCGTCAGGTGGTCTGTAAATGACAGAGAATAGGGCCAGGGTGCTAGAAGTTTTGACTTGTAGCCAAACCGCTTCAAGACCCTCAATAAACAAATCTTTGCAATGAATAGCATGTAAATATTCTGCAAAATACAAAGCACAACCTCCTCCTTTGCCTCCTTTGCGGTCGAGTCGTAATAGCTTCATCCCGTCAGTGTTCAAGGCAGTGTCTAACACAGTTTCGTCGAGGTGAGTTTCAGTTATTGCCAGCACCTCAAATTTGCATAATATGTAACTGTAAGCATCTTAATTCGTCGATCTTATTTCTTAAGCTGCAGATGTTCAAATGTGCTACCTTTAGATCAGAACAATACACTCGCTATCACTGAACTTAGCATCAAGAGCAAGTACATCGAACTGCAAAAAAATTTCTGCCTTTGTTGTAGCAGGAATAGATTCATCCTTCTCAAACAGAATGGCAATATCTCCTTTACTGTAACCTTCTTCAAAAAGCAGAAAAAGCAACTTAAGTTCTTCAATTAACTTATTGGTCTGTTGTCCTTCTTGGTACGTTACGACACGTAGTACCTCTCCGTCAAAATCATGGCCTATTGATGGCTGACGCCTAGCATTAACATCATTGAGAAATTGTTTCGCATAATTGAAAATTTGTCTGGAGTTTCTTATCACTCTTGTGGGACGACGCGTTTGCTGAAAACTACCTGGTATACCTGTTCTGAATGTATGATTGATCTGATTTCGATCTATGAAACCCCACAAATAGCCTGGATCATCATCTCCGCCACTGCAGCACTCTGCACCAGTTTCAGAGTTTGCATCGAAGGGATCATACGAACTGTACTTACTTTCACAATCGCTTGCATGCTATCGCACAAGACATCTGGCTTTTCCTAGCCAATCTCCATCTTCAATTTGAAAAGCCTGCACCTCGTCCAGAATAACGTGCCTGATGCTTGGAAACTTCTCACTCATAAAGGCTATTCGAGTAAGATCACTTGCGTATCCGCAGGTTCCTGCGAATAAAGAGAACGCGGCATTGTGTTAAAAAAGATGTTACAATGTACCTTCTTGTAAGTGAGAAAGAAGGGTCGCAGCTGAAGCATACATATCAATAAAATTATTGATCACAGCTTCAGAATTGAGACAAGAGTCTTGCATGAAAATAATAAGCAAAGCTAGAAGCGAGCTCAGATAATTTACATGTTGAATCAGGTTTGATGTTCACTCACAGTGGTTAAGTTACCACCATATTCCCTTCTCTCCCTGCTAGGAGTCTACTGGAACTGAACCTAGGGGTGGATTTCCACCATCGCGATATTTTTAAGTGCGCACATACGTAAAATAGGCGATTTTCGTATTCCCGGGCGGCTTAGGGGCGAGTGCTTGTTTTTACGCGAAAGCGAGGCTACTGCGGGTCACTTCTCACCAAGAAGACAAACAAACATGAGAAAACTGCTGCTGAGTTGGCGAAAAAAAGGACAATTTGAAGCATTGAAAGGTTTTGGAGGTCACAAAACTTATTTACAGGCTTCACTTGAGAAATAATTGTTTCAAAGAGCAAAAGGAAAATCTGCTCGTCATCACTAAGAAAAACAACGAGCCTAACAATAAATTGACCGAAATAGTGGTCGGTGAGTGAGTTCCATAAAAACTGGTGCGAAAATGGTTTTAAAATCCTTTCACAAGGTAATATCCTGAAGCCATTTTAATATTATTTTCCGGTAATGGTTAAAACTTCTTTAAACCATACCTTCCACGGGAGTGTACGTACTTGTTGAAAGCCTACAAGTTTTAATTGAAACCTTCAATTTAGTTTACATTTTTTCTAAAGGAGCGTATGCAAAATCTTGTGCATTTGAAATAAAGAATATACCGACTGGACAGACCTTCTGCATAAATTCCTTGCACTGTAAGAAAGTTAAATCGGTTTAAACGATGATTACTAAACTAGTATAAGTTTATTTATACATAAGCTTACATTTAGCGTACATTATTTATCAAATTATTCAGTCACATAAAGAAAAACGTACGCACATTTCATCCGACAAGAACTCGAACTCAGAATTTTATACAGACGACATACTGAGCAGTTTAAACTGCATTTTACACATATCACAAGAGTATAATAGAATACTAAGAAGAAAGATGATTAAAAGGAATAAAATTGTCATTTTTAACAAACTTTACCCTTGTCAAGGCTTACAAAGTTTACTTATTCTTTGGGCTTGGTCACTTTCTTCCTGTCTTCTGTTAAGTACGATCAGCTTTTCCCACAATTTTGTTGTTTGCCCAGATATCCCTTTGGCTTACTGGTAAAGTTTAAGCTTTGAAATCTTACTGTTTTTAAGATTTCTATCGTTTTCCAGCGACTCAGGGGAAAATTATCTATGTTTTTGTTTCTGCAAAGTTGACCCACATTAGCCTCGCAATCGTGCCTGTCCCAGGGCCGTCGGGGAATTCAAAACTTGCTTATTTACGTCATAAACATAATAGAGGCATCCCGCGCAGATGTAAAAGTTGAGCGAGGTTAAACTTCTACGTTTACACGCGACCTTCCATACATTGCCTCTTAGCTTTTTAATTTAAGCACGTAAAAATTAAATTACAGTATGTTGCCCAGTATCCGGACACTTGAAACAAAAACTCAATTTTTGAGGCGCCCTTTTCAGTTCTCGGTAAACAAAGTATTTCGAATGAAAGCTGAACATTTCAGCTTTAAGATGAAAATTTTGGCGATTTGAAAGCTTGCGAAACAGTCGAGAAAGACGCCGTTCTGTTCAGGTGAGTAAACTTTTCGTGGCTAATATTTACGCTGTTTACTGCGCAGTAAAATTAGTGCTGGTCAGAAAAGGGAGGGTAATGTGTGTTATTTTCAAAGAAACTGTTTTATTCTTAAAGTAAAGATACTTAAGGAAGTCAGGTTTTCAGAAAGTTTATTAATTCTTCTTGAAATTCGATTTGTTTGGAATAACGGAGGCCAGAAACATTCACTAAGTTTTGATGTCATGTGCCCAGTATCCGGACAGATTTTTCTTTGCTGTACAGAATCGATGAATTAGCTGTGTAATTTATCCGGATAAGATTTATTTCATATCAGTAACTATAATTAAAGGTTAGCATATATGATATAGTCGTAAAATGTAAATCTACTCAACTCCGTATGCAAATTTTCTTCACTCATTCAGAGGCGACTTGATTTCATGTGCACGGCTTGTTTCGCGTGACTGCATTTTCTATATACAACTGAAAGCGTCTGAGTTGAACCTGGAATTCTCATACTTTCCCAAGTTGTTACTGCTAGAATGGGGTTGCAACGGTCTGAAAAATGTCACAAAGGGATTGAGAGATGTGAAAGAAGGAGGAATTAGTGCTAGAAAAGCAGGCTTATTGTGGGACTGACCATGAAGAAATCAACACTGCAGGTCAGACTAAATAGGAGAGTGACCTTTGACCGTCGGGTTAAGGTCCATTCCCCAAGCTCTTTTTTAAAATTAAAAATGAAGAAAGAAAGTCGTTTGCAGATTGGCTAATTTAGCTTGCAAACTGCGGCTTCGGCATGTCCACGGATACCTTCCTTAAATCAGTGAAAAAGTTCCTAGACAAGGAAGTAAGAATTATACCATTTTTAAAACAGCCGCTCGCGTTCCCCACCATACCCCAATCATTTGTTATGTTTTATTTCACGATGCTAGGTTATATTTTTGGAATCGATTGCCAGATTACTTTGCAGGTGCAAAAGAAGCTTATGAGTCGCTAGCCTGTCGAAATTTATGTACAGTTACGTTGTTATTGTTGTGTCCGGATACTGGGCCAGCTGTCCGGATACTGGGCAACTTAGGAGCTCTGCAAAAATATTAATTTCGCGATGGAAACAAAGGCAAACAAGTTAAATTGTCTTTCTTCATATTAAGGACTAGATAGATTTTCTCTGGGCCAAATTTCAGAGCTCTTACGATTAACAAAGGAAAGTTATTGCAATCTTAAACTGAAGTGTCCGGATACTGGGCAACATACTGTACGCCAAAGTGAAAATCCACCTTATTCCTCGCGAAGTGCCGAGCCGCGAGGTTTATAATCTCGTCGCGCGCCAAGCGCGCTTGTATCAACATTCGCGCGCGACTAACAGTGCATCTCCCCACCCCCAAAACAGTCTTGATACCTTCAAGGCACAATTTCTTTGATCTTTCAACATTGTATTAGGTGGGGAAGGGGGAGGGGTTAAAAGGATTTTCAAAGCACATCACTGCTTTTGCCAACATTATTTGTGATACAGATAGAACTGCTGTTATGCTCCTGCTGTCCCAAGAACTTTTGTCCAGGATTGTAGGTATGTGACGGGGGTTAGGGTACCATTTTTCAATAGAAGGTATACGAAAGAGGCCCCTTTTCTGCACAGATGTATATAAAAGGGTAAGGGGCTGGACCTCAAGACGGAGCCTTCTTAAATAAAACTTTATTGAGTTTTCCCTGGGAAGAAAGGGAAAGGGAGGATTGCCTTTACTTCTCTACAAATCAACACAACATAAACTTTATTATATTGAACAAATATGTAATTACATCAATATGCATGGAAACTAGAGAACTTTTACGGGTTTTTATTACAAGGTTCTCCTATTATCTATTATGTTTTCTTATCAGGTCTGGACGCCACATGTAGCGTAATCTAACGTAACCATAAATTGATTTCAAGAATTTAACTTCCACAACATTAAGCATTGTCTAAACACTGTTGTGACAAAATATTTATTTCCTTTTTATACTATATTGTGATTTTGTGTTCTTTAAATCTTCTGGAATAGAGTTCAATTTCGTCCTTTTACACTGTATTGAATCATAGCCATAGTTTGTTCTGTAATACTGCTTATGCATATCATTGCTTCGCCGTGTAGAATAAGAATGAAGTTGACTATTCAAAATATAAATATCTCTAAGATTATACGGCAACACGAGCCTGACGGCAACTTATTATTAAATAGGTCACGCCCAGGCTCACTTGTGCAAATTCGGGGAAATCGCCATCCAGCGAGGAATCCGGTTTCTGTCACCACATGACATAGCGCGAATGTGTTCCGCGTGGATGACCCACGCTCAGAACCACGCATCCTTCACGAATTGACGCAGAACAAAATGGCGGATGACGCGGAGAGCGTTATTACTATTTGAATTGTCGACGAAAACGACTGCAGAGAGATTTCTGCTAAAGCTGTATCAGCCAAACGGAAATTAAAAAAGAATCGCCCTTCCTCTCTTGTATAGAGCTAACAGTACAGCAGGGAAAATCCTTAACACACTGAATATTCTCTCAGGATCATTTATAATTTACAGTTTGAAGAGAGCAATTTCTGGTTTGATATTTATTCTTTTATTAGTCTTTTATTATTCAACAAAAATATCACTTGGCGTCCTACTTGCTTTATTGTACAAATGACTGGTTTCAATAGACCGGCGAAATTTCTCATTTTGTTAACTAAAAGCACTGAGGTTACGACAACTTCGAGTTAAACTGATTTTACGGGTTGTCAAACAGTCTAGCGATTCCCTTTTCCCACGTGAGCGCCGACTCATTTCGCTTCAATATTCAGGAATGCTCCCCATCTCTGTACGCTTTCATTGCCTTTCGCCTGACATGTTTTGCACGGCGTTTAGTCATGCAAAACCTCCACGAAACATCCACGCAGCGCGCGAGGAAACTTAAATAACTCGAGACGAATTACCCGTGGAATAGGGTGTATATGGGGGATGCCTTCTCTGTCCCCTTTATCCTCTCTTGGTCTCACATACTCATTATCTGGGAAAAAATACTTCCCATTAGCGGGCACCGTCCTTAAAATATACCGGTAGACTAATTGCAAGTTCATTATCAGCTTTCATTTCTACGCTAGTTAATCCAGGATTGGCCATAGGCACCCTTTGATTCTTTTACTAAACGCTAATAAATGTTCTTGTTATTGAGAGCTGTGCGTTGATTCAGTCGTTCTTATGTCACCATGTAACTTCAAATATGGAATAATGGTTCTAGTCTTAATAGTTTGGTTGAGACCAAGGAGTCGTAACACACACACTGTCACACAGTAAATGCTAATTATAACGTTGGCGCAAGGCGGACAAATGTGAAGCCCTTGGATGTACGGCAGAAATTGTAGCAGGCGCAGATGGCAGAGTGAATAACTGAGCGGTTTTAGCAAAAGAAAAAAAAAGTGAGGTTAATATAAGCGGTTATTAACATTTTCGGAGATATCCAGTTTAGTACCCAGGCGTTCGATTCCTTACCGGTCACTGGATTTAACGCGAACTCAGTATTTACCGTTCCCTCACCGCGACAGAAGAATGCTGAGCGTCTTACGCCTTACGGCCAACTAGAGAAGGCGTCTGTTTTTGAATTTATATAGCTAGTCGGACCAAGTACGTGATCGTTCGACAGCGCTTTATGTCCCTAGTCACAAGATGTACCTTTTATGAATCAGCTACTTGACCCTTTAAATTGACTAAAAAGACATGCTGCAGCTCGTCAACTTTACATTACTCGCAACAAGTAACTGGCAAATAGCAACTAGCAACTCGCAACTAGCAATTTACTACTCGCAACTACACAACTTTCAAAATACCCAGTCCCTTCACTTTCCAGTCTGAAGGTTTCGATTGCATAACTTCCTTACACCTCTGACTAGAAATACGTGTATCGCAGAACCTCGCGAAGCTCGGGGGGAAGCCCATAAGGGGTGGGAGGACAGGAGAGAAATGAAGTAAATCATGTAACTGGGGAGGGCTGGTCTAATATTGGAAGCTGAGATGTACTTTAAATTTGAGCCCAGTGCTCTGGTTTTAAAAAGGATCTTAATTCTGAGATTTAAATGGGGTTCCTGTTGTTAGCCAATGTTTCATAGGTCCCGAGTTCACCCCATTTGACCCTCCTACATGTGTAATTATGGTCAAAAGGAAATGGGGGTGATAGTGGATAACTGCTGACTAATATGCAGTTGCATTTGCTTAATAAAAGCTCACCCTTAAATGTAATAATTATTCGAAATGTGTCAGTAGTAATGAGTGGATGGCAATGCTGCAGTGAAAACAACAACTAAATGCTGGTAATTGGAGAAAAAAATTTATTGTTAGGTGAACTACATTTATAAAAGTGTCTGCACTTTTTTGGTACATAATCACACTTGACAACTGTTTTTTGCAACAGTAATCACTGAAATGGAAAATTACAAGTAGCAATGTCATTTTATAGGATGCAGTTCACGAGAATTATTAAAGTGATCATGACTTATGATCATTCAATATGTGGGCGTTAATTCATCGTAAAGCACTGAATCCATGTAAAAAGTACCAAATTTTTATCACCTAGGCAAGTGTTCCGAGTTATATTCGTGTACATGCATAAGAAACAAATACCTATACAACAGTGAGTTTCCACAAACAGTGAACAGTGAATGTCCACAAACAAGTTATGTTGAGGGTGATCAGTTTCTCCATTGGTGTCCATTCTAAACATGCATGAGCTTGTTGTTGAGACAGTGCCAGAGCCATAGATGTTTAATTTCCCAGACTGAGACGAGTCAAATGAACACTTTCCCTGTATTACATGCATTTCTCGTGAATGTAAAGCTAAGTGCAGGATGGAGTGATCTTAAATGGGAAACCCTATATCTGCTTGCATGCCGTTTAATTTCTTAAAACAATCTCAATCTTCTTCTGCCAATGGAACAAATGTTTTATTTCTGTGAATATGTCACCTCTCTCTGACTTCTTTGAAAGAGTGAAATTTTATGACTGACTTCTTAAATTTTCCCTAACGGAACTACCGTTCTTGGCATGGCAGCCATGTCACATACTAATATTCTGAGGATACCCGAAATACAGATTGTCTTTTGGAATAATAGGAACGAAAATATAGGAGCCCAGCAATAATAAATTTTTGTTATATTTGACTTAAAAGACACAGCTGTGTTTATGTATAATTGAATGAAAATTGTAAGCTTAAACGAAAAAATCTTGTTCAGTAGATAGTTTGTTTACAAATGTAACGCTTCCCTACATGTCACACATTATCGGTGTTCTAAACTGTTCATTGTAAAAAAGCGGTGAAAAGGCTGATTGGCTGTCCTCAGTCCGTTGGAAAGATACTCCTCATGTCGATCTTACAAGATGGTGTAATTCTTGCTGCCTATCGTTACATCGAAGAAGATAATTTTGACTGTAAACTTGCCTCTTGATGATTCCTCGTCGGTTTCGGTTTCGTTGCGATGCGAATTCTATTGACCGCATTTTGCTCAAACGTCGGCAGTCGGTGTTCCCTCTCTTCGTCGGCTTTGTTTGCAGTGTAATTGTCGTATTTTGTTCCTGCCTCTTTACATCCTCTGTGTTTAGTTGACAGGGTTTGCCTTCGCTGTGCCGTTGCTCGCCCTGAATTTAAAGTCGACGTTCTCGGTCTTGCGGAGTTTTGTTTGTAATTTTTTCCCAGCGAGGATTTCCAGCCACTTGTTGAATCCACTGTTGTTGAGTTTGCTGTTCTCTTTTATTTGCCTGAGATATTGGGTGGTGATACAGCGACCGTAAACATTGTTATAATGGCAACCGGTTGCCTGGAAACCCATAATGCACTTTGAAGTCAATACCTGGATGACGTCAAGGCGGACACCAACCAATAGCCAAGAGGAAATCACGCTGGCCTTGCCATGCTCGTGTGATACACGCGCGCTTCGCGCGCGACGAGATTATAAACCTCGCGGCTCGGGGCTTCGCGAGGAATAAATCCAGGGGATAAATCACAAAACCAGTTCTCTCGAATAGCAGATGTCCCCACCCTTTCACATACCTGAAGCATGAAAAAGGCGTAGCCTTCCTGTAAAGGCCATTATAGAGAGTACCCCTCGGGCACACAGGCTTCAGCACAAACCCATTTAGGCAAACAAGGGAGTGCCGCTCTGGGAACTTTTTAGCTGACTCTTTCGTCTAATGAGAAAGAAATTGCCTAAATCACAGCCGGCTAGTGACCTGTTAGTCTTTTTCAGGTTATAAGTTAATTCCGCTTTGGGACAATCTTCCCACAATCCTTTGATTATCATTTCTCTAAGGCGGCCAATAACAAACAACTTAATAAAAGCAAATTTTTGTATTTCACCCAAGCCCCAAACAAAGCAGCACCACAGTTTCTTACGGCTCTTACGTGCAATTACATCCGTGCATCCAGTTGAACGATATGGCTACTGAATCTTTATGTGGAAAATCATTAAAACTAGCCCATTATATACCAAAGCAAGTTAAAGTGTAGCCTACTAAAGGCTAATATTCTTGGCTGAACATTAAATCTCAGTTTACATATTTTGCATATGCATAACCTTTCCCCAAGGTCCTTACTGATTTCTTGGCAAAAGCCCTGGGGAAGAACTGGGAGAGGGGTTCTTGAACTGAAATCAGTTAACATATTGCATTTAGCACATTTGGGTTTGAAACAGCAGTTTTACTTTAATAAATTCAATATCATTGTAAATTCAGATATAATCTTATTTCTCCTGTACTAAGATTAAATTTATAACCCTAACATATTCAGTCTAAGTTGTCTGTTAGCTAACAGGACTACAATGCATGGAATAATTTTGCCAACTGTTTAACATGCACTTTATTGATCTGTTGACAAAAAAGTTCCTACTAATGTCTGGCTTTAATCTCGAATTTAATACAAAACTTCACTATAGATTATATTGAACTAAAAGTGATAGAAACTAAATTTTCCTATGTAACAGCATTATCAATAAAGTGGCATGCATGCATTTACAGTTAATGGAATGCATGCATTCACAGTTAATGGAAGTAAAACAAACTTTCATCAACAAACTTTGGTCCTCATTGGCAATTTGGCAGAAAGTTTTGAAGGTTTGGATCTGGCCAATCAATAGGAAAAACAAGTGTTGAGAACTCATGATCAGTATTCTAATGTTCAACGAAAAGTAAAACAAGGTAAAAATAATCCTTAGGTAATAAATATAATTTTAGTTTTTGAACTAATATAAATTCTACACGTAGATGTCTAGAAAACTAATAAAATAATATACATCATTATTATGGGACAGTGTTTTACACAACTTAATACATGCAAAGAAATCTTCTATTGTCCCTCAAAGTTATTTTAATTTTAAAAAACTAGGCTATAATATTAATTTTATGAAGTACATAGTATACTATAGTACTATAAAACCTCTAAACTCTTTTTTTCTAAACACACCACCAAATTTGATTGTAGTACCGATTTTACTTTACATACTTCTGTATCATGTCAATTTGATCAACATTTCAAATTACATTATGAAACTTAACTAAATTTCAGCCAATATTTTGCACTATTGCAACATACATGTACAATGAAACCCCGTTAATACAAATACGGGGGGGCCCATAGAAAGCGTCGGTATTAATAGGGTGTCTATGTTAAGCAGGTTGAATTTTAGAGAAAATGTAAGGGATTTCTAACCCAGAGACAAAGCAAACTGTCCGTAATTAATAATAAGGTGTCCGTATAATGCGGGTGTCTGTAAAGCGGGATTTGGCTATATAATATGGAGTTCCAAGATAATGAAAATTTGAAAAATAAAATTTTGCTGCCTGCATGTAGTGAATAATTTTCCTGCATTCACTATAGGGCAGCAAACAAAATAATGTCACTGTATTCTGTCAACCCGGGCTTCGACTTCTTGTCTTTGCTACACTGGAAGGCAGGAAAGGTCTATTATGACCTCACTAGATCGCATGACCAACAACCTTGTACACTGCAAGTTAATTGTCACAAGAAGAAGATGCCCACCTGGGAAGCTCCTCTAAATAGAAAACACTTTACAATTTGAAAGGTACTCCTGGGTTATTTCCTTCAAACTCATCACATGATCTTTACTGTTTTAACTGACTGTGTAAACATTTTGCTGTCATATCCTCCATGTATGACAATACTTAAGATATACAATTCAACGAGGAGAACAGTTAATAACTATTATTAGATCATTATGAAGAGGTGACTGAAATGAAACTCCAAGTCACTCCTTCTAATTAGTCTGACATATAAATCAAAAGGAGAATATGGCATTAGATTAGATCCGAATTAGAGGCCACACAACTTACATGTATTTTAGAGCCTAGACATTCCACATACCCCTTCACAGTCATTATTAGCCACTTTTAAATTTAGAGTCACACATTTATACAAGCTGACGTGACATACATGTAAATGTACAATAAACAGGACTATATTATTACACCAGTTATATGTCCTTACTGGCCATGGACCATATCAAAAAATCTGTCCACCAGCTTTTCACATTGTTCCTTCCACTTATATTTCATCATGTATTCCTTTTTCAGTTTTCCAACTTTTGAGCGAAGTGCCTTTGGTTCCATGTCCCTGAACTCCCTTATCTTGTCAGCCCAAGCCTGGGGGTCTTCAGAATCCACGACAAAATCTGGTCCATATTTTACTGTCTTGAGGGTCATACCTAGCCCAGTATTTCCACTGATCAGAACAGGCACATTGGCTGAAATGGCACGGAGACCACTCATTCCAAAGCCTTCTGTTCTTGATGGCTTGATGAGAACATCTACTTCATGAAGATATTTAAACCATGTTTCTGTGTCCCCAGCCGAGCAATGACGAATGGTCAGCTGATTTAAATTTATTTCCTCCTTTCCCATGGCTTCATTGAGTTCATTATCATCATCTTTAGGCTGTGCAACAAGTATCAGACGATATGAAGCATCTTGCAGTAGGCTGATAGCACGGGCTGCAATGTCACACCCCTTGACCTGGAAATACTTGGTGGAACCACTGACTAGTACACGGAATTTTTCATTTGCAGCATTCTTATACTGCCCACTGATACCTAGGTATTTTTCTGAAATTCCAGGTGTTAGGGTAAAAACATTTCCCTCTTTCCCACAGTAGCTCAATGCAGCCTTGTAGGCTTCTGCAACTTTAGGGCCGACAGCAATGACAAGATCAGCTTTTTGACACAATGTCACCTGTAGCTCATGCTCTGCAGATGGTTGTTGTTCAGATTGTTCACTTGACCATGTTTTCTTTAAGTATTTCTCCAGTTCCTCACAGATTGTATGAACAACAATAGCCCATATACAGTTTTTGGTATCTTTTATAACCTGTGACTGTCGTCCTACATTAAATCCATAACGATGCATCATCAAAACATCAATTTTCAAATCATCAGGTGGATGGGCTAGCAGCTCTGTTTCTGAATACCCAGAAATGAATTTTGCATCAAAAAGTTTAATGTTTAACTCAGTAGCCAGTTCTTTATGTTTCTNACAGATTGTATGAACAACAATAGCCCATATACAGTTTTTGGTATCTTTTATAACCTGTGACTGTCGTCCTACATTAAATCCATAACGATGCATCATCAAAACATCAATTTTCAAATCATCAGGTGGATGGGCTAGCAGCTCTGTTTCTGAATACCCAGAAATGAATTTTGCATCAAAAAGTTTAATGTTTAACTCAGTAGCCAGTTCTTTATGTTTCTCAGTGTGTTTTGGCACAAATCCACTTAGTTTGATTCTCTCATTGTGAGCCAGTTCTTTTTCTAATTCTCCATTTGTCATCTTGTCCCAGCCATCTGCATTAGAAGCAAGTACTACATTCAGTTTTTGTGCATCCCCTAAAAAATTAAAAGAGCCATTAACATGACGTGGAACAAAATATTTATCAGTATTACCAGTTATAATAGTAGCAATGATAATAATTACTAACAATTAATAATAACAATAAAAAGAGGCTCCAAATAGTCTATACTACTGATGAAAAGGAGGTTACAGCATGTACGTGACAAAATACATGTAGGTACACAACGTTGCATAGTCGGACATAGAACCTTTGCCATCCTACAACTTGGAATAATACAGGAGAAAAACTAATCTGGAAAAGGGCATGATAGATCTAAGATATAGATAATTAAGATGTAGGAGAGAAGATAAGTGCTAAATAATAAAATGCCATCTACACCACAAGAATACTATTGCAGGTGAATCACAAAGTGAGCAGAGGCGAAAAATTTTACAGAGAGAATTAACAACAGATCAGAATAGTTGCAAGTCTCTAGATTCTTTCAAGGCAATGTCTCTGACAATATCATGATATTGGTAGTGTGAAATACTGGGGTCGCCATGTAGCATGCTTCCCTCCGACACTTTCCTAAGTTGTTATGATTGAATTTTTAAAATAGGATACAAATCCCTCAACAAAATAGACGATTCAGTTGTGTCCAAGATGTGTTTACAACTGTGACAACTGTGACAAAAACTCGATACAAATAAATCTGTGTAAGCCACAGGCAGTTCCTTTCAGTGCGACAATTCATATTAAACTGTGGACCAAACTTTTCAATATAAGCTTAAGTATTGATCAAGTTTGTGGGATACTAAATAAACAGACTGCATGCTAATGACTTGCCCGTAGTTTTACTGTAAACTATTCCCCATTCACTTCGTTGCACGCGTAGGTGACATTAACAGTGGTTGTAAGAAAAGTTTTTATTTTTATTTTGCATCTCTAGTGTAATCGGTAAGGTGCGATATTTACGGTAAAAAAGGGCAAAACAGTGACGCCCTCAAGAAGGTTACAAGCAAAAGGCAAGAGGTCTACCCTTCAGACATGATACCATCCCAATATTTTCGCTTCCGCATTCTCAGGTACTCCTTTTTTAAACCAATACACTATTTTCTTTGTTCGTACCTTTTGCTAGTGTATGCATGGCTGACCGTGCGTACAGCAAAAATCTTAAAAACATATGTATTTCTTATTTCCTGAAATAATATATTTCATATTTCCTTTTATCATTAACTCTGGATATTAATGATA